ACTCTTGGGGAAATTATGAACCCTTGAAAAAAATACGTAACTAATTGCGTACAGCATACGTATTCATCGTTTCTAACTGTGGCCGTGTTATTTAGGTTTATCTTCAATTTTCATCCCAGGACAGCCTCTGAAACTGTGAAACTCTGAAGTTTTCTGTTGTGGAATGACTGGCTGATTTCAGTTAAATGCACGTCTTTACGCCCCTTCTTGGCTTAGTTACGCTGCATCAGAGCGCTCCAACACGTCTGTATGGCACTGCCAGCGTGCATTACACCCCTGGTGTCTTGTATGTCGCGCAGTACCCACTTGGAGTACGGCATTCCTCATGGCTTTTCGGTGCCCTGGGTTTCTCTGCAGATGATGTATGCGCATTTCACCATCCTCGCACTCAAAAGTGTCAGATTACAAGCCTTGTGCCACCACGCCCAGCGTAAATAGTACTGTATGTGCAGTATACGTACGAACATACACCAGCTATTGCCCTGTGGGAGTTTGGTCCGGTGGGATTTCTCAATTCAACACGAGTGTGAGTTTAGCCGCACAGAAATCTGCAGTTGTGTCCAAGTGTAAAAATCTCTACATAACCAGTGAAATTATTAAAATGAACATTTTAACTGCGGAATATATGTAGCAGTTAAATTGCAAAAAAAAGTTAATTTTAACGCATTCAGTGAAATACAGAGGAAGTATTTTCCACTTGGATGGAACTGCAGATTTATACTGCGACCCCCTGCCCCTTTCATAAGTCCCCGCCTGCGCCAGAGCTGCAGGCTCTCGAAGTTCAATCGCACAGGCAAGTCCCACACTTTACAACGCGAAGGAGAAATGCCGACACGACGGCGCTGAGCCCCTTGCGTTCGGGTAGCGCGTCGGGTGGGAGGAAAGGGCGCGCCAGGAGGCGGCGTGGGCTCCTTGCCCTGGAATAACCACGTAATTAATTACAGCCGGGGGCAGCTGTGGGGCACACACAAAGACAAAGAGCCCCCGTATAGCCTCAACGGACTGTTGGGGCAAGTGCTGTTAGCGAGCAGCATCTATGAAGGCCGGCACGGGATACCGAGGGGTATGGTTGACCAGCACCACTCACTCAAGCGTGCACACACACGCACGCACATTCACTCTCTCTCTTCATGCACACGTACTTCTCTTTCGCGCGCACGTGCGCGTGCATTTGGTTTGTACACGTGGAATTGATGTTCTTACAAACACATACAAAGGTAAAGATCCCCCTTTTAGCCTCGATAGATTGTTGTGGCAAGAACTGTTTGTGAGCACCTATTAAGGACAGGACAGCCCGCAGAGGCATATGCGGGACATGCAAAGCCCGTACGCCCATTCCATGTGTTCTCTCCGATGCCAATGTTGACTCAGCGTACCAAGCAGTGTCATTTTTTTGCAGGCCAAGTAAACTTAGAGGAGTCTCAGATTAGGTTCACAATGTCTTTGGCTTAAACTAATATAACTTTCCAGGGTCTGCTTGCCTAAACAAACACTGCTTGATCAAATTGGTCTGGTAAGCCAATAGGCCGATGAACTCAAACATATTTGTATTTACACGTGAAGACGTAGAATGGAGTTCTGTTCACACGTGCTTTTACCCGCAGTGCTCCACAGAAATGGATAATGAGTTCGTGTAAATCACAGGGTTCGATTGACATCTTCAGAGGATCTCTGGCGGATCTTAAAAAATAAAAACATCGTCATGAAGTTGCTGATTTTCTCCTCCAACCAATCAAGGACCATGGGCTGGGAGGGATTGGCATTGGGACGTCAGCATGGCTTGCACAGTTGGGCAGCACATCATGAATTGTCATGGCCCACAACCCCAGCTCCAAATGATACTCATTCATTGACTCAATGTAATATGAATCCAAAGTGGTTGCTTAGTCTGTCTCTACGAGACACCAAAATAAAGACGACACATTCTGTAGTCTGGCGCTACCACTCATCTGCCTCATAACAAGTTGTGCCTCAATTAGCCCGAATTTATGCACCAATACCTAGATTATCCGGCTCGGGGCCGGTAGATTTCCGGAATCAGAATCGCAACTCAACTGCGGCCTGATTGCTCTGCCCTGTGAGCAGCCCTGTTGAAGTGATGCTTTCTGAAAGCCCCTGACCACGTGCCCTCGGATGGCAGGGTATCACAACATGCTCCTTCAGCCTCTGTTGACAGATTTGTTCAATGTGAAATGATGGGTTTACATCTGCCTGGCTGGTATCAGTTCAATGCAAATGCTTACACCCCTCCTGCGTCTGCATGGCTCTTCCAACGTGCATTGCACCCCTGCTGTCTTGATACAATCATGGTTTTATTTGATTTATTCGCGGACAGAGCCTCGGGACATATTTTTGCTGAATTCGATTGCCGGCCACGGCTGACATCAGTGGCGAGTGATCTCAGACCGAGTCCCTGGACCCCCACGTCACGTTACCAAGTTCGGTCAAACAACCCCCACGACCGCCACGGCGTGCGGGAGGCACCCTCACTTGGCAGTGAGTGGATCGACAGAGGGCTGGGAATCATCATTCTATTTGTTGAGCACTTAGCAGGCAGATATTGCGAGAGCACCCCACGGAGTTGCTCGCTCCCGTCGCTCCATCGAGGTGTCCGCCCCCCCCCCCCCCCCCCCCCCCGGGCTCCCAGCTCTTGTCGCGAGCGGCGGGAGTCGCGTGCGTGGGTTGCGGCCGCTGCTGCCCCCGCATCACCCCCGGGGGTTTAGTGGCGAACCCGAGACACCACCCGGCGGCTCCCGGGACGGCGTAAGGCGACCTCGAGTCGATTTGAAAAAAAATGTGAGAAGGTGACGCGGGTTTCCAAAAATGGCATTTACAATACGAGTCTGTTCAGCGAGCGCGGACTCCCAGGCACGTGCCGCGAGCTGTGGCCGGGGGTCTGTGTTTGAAAAGGTTCGTGGCGCGGCCTGACGTGTCATGTGTTCAGGGGGTTAAGTGGTGTGACACGAAGCTGCTTTGGCCTCCCGCTACATTGCCCGGTGCGATGATGGGCGCGTGGAGCGATGTCACCGTGGTGTTGGGGAGACCTTCATTCAGCTGTGTACTGACAAATGGCTGTAAATTATTATTATTGCCTGACAGAGTGGTGTTATGTAACCTATGTTGTCACGTTGTTGACACGCTTGTAATGTGAACTAATGTGACATTCGGCGGGGTGGCATAGCAATGCATGGAGTATTCGTGGCTTGAAAATAGCATCCGCTGCAGTGCTGTGAAGTGAGACGCGGTTTAGTCTGTCCGAGTTTGGCCAGGACAAACTATGACGCATGGGAACGTCACAGTGCGTTGCATTGCCTGGCACGAAGCAGCAAGTATTGTGCAGTGCTCACCAATGTCGTACTGTGATGGTGTGGTGTGGTATGGCCTTGTGGTGTGGTATGGTGTGACCTTGTGGTGTGGCGTGGACGCGATGCCGTGGAGGGTGGCACCGCGTGGCGTCGTGGACTCGGTTCTAACGTCCACGTGGTCTGGCTCGGTGCATTGTGGTGTGGCGCGGTGGTGGTGCCGTTGTGCCGTCAGCCGTAAAGGGGCCTCTTTGTTTGCCTGCCCAGGGTCGCCTTACCGTGCGGCACATCCCAACACGTGCGAGTGAGCGAGCCCTCTCAATCGGCCGTTGTCTGCACTAATTAGGGGGCGCGCGCGCGCGGCTTTAATTAGGGGGTGGAAATGAGTCATTACTGGCGAGAAACCCTATCGTTTTAATTTCTGGTAAATAGTGTTTGGCCAAATAGCTTCCAAGCGTTGAGCTCGCTGAGTAGAGCAAGTCTCTCGTCGCCGGGCACACGACTCGTCATCGTCGTCTTGACGAGCTTAGCCCCCGTCCCCCTGGCAACACCGTGGAGTTGCATCGTGATATTGCAAGTCCCGTTGCGTATTTAGGTGTCGTTTATAAATTAGTCCAATTCGTTTTAATTGCGTGCGTCGGTTTTGTTCATTGTTAGCCAGTTCATTTATCCAATTTCATGTGAAATGCAGGAACCAGCCAATGAGAATCGGTGGTATTGATAATACTGATTTGATGTTGCTGTTATTATTATTGTTGTTGAGAGTGGAGTGGCTGGAATTATATTTTATTTTTAGAACATACGTGTTGTGTTTTATTCATGACGTTATGCCCCTTGTGCTGTAGCGTCAAGATATGATGAAAAGAAATGTCCGTCCTGTGTCATATTAAAGAACGATCACAGATGAGCAATTTCACAACGATTGGGGTTTCTTCTAAATTCTCAATAACTGGAGCCACTCAGCTCCACTAGTTTATGTCGAGCAGATTAGTAGCACGTCACTTCTCATCTTGAATGCAATAATTTTATTGCACATTTTAACCAAAGAGTCTGGCTCGTCCAAAGTTTTAAAAAAATGTAGATTTCGGATGTTGAAGATGGGTGGGTAGTTGGATGCTTTAGAGTTGCTTGGAAAAGAATCTGCCAACAAGAGAACCTCTCTGTGTGTGCTTCAGTTCGGGTTGCCACCTGTTCTGGTTTTGCCAGGATTGTCCCGTTTTTAAGATAGCTTTCCTCGGAAGACTTGCAGATTTCCGAGATTACAATTTCTGGCATTTGTCAGTTGCGTACGATTGTACCACACAATGTCTGTATGTTGAACTTCTTTTGCACCGAACGTAGCCATCTATGCTAATCGGAAGTGCGTTTACAAGTCGTTCTCCCCTGGTATTGTAAGATACGTCTTCTTCGTCCAGTGCTGTGTGTGTGTGTGAGCGCAGGTGGCCGGCGACCCGAGTTCGATTCCCGCTCTCCGAAACGGTCCTGAGCCTCCCCTAGGTCGACTCATCCTCAAATGAGTACCTGGTGCGGTGTGTGGCAGACGTCGCCACCGGGGAGGAGACAAAGGGGGCGTGGTGCTGGCCACCCACCCGCCCGTCTTGTGTGTCACAGTACCGGCCTTCAGCACTTGCCCCGACAGTCTGTTAAAGGCTGTGTGTGTGTGTGGGGCGGGCGGGTCTTTGTCTTCGTCTGTGCCAGGTGGCTGGCAGGGCAGGAGGATTGCCGCCAGAAGACGGACGTGCACTACCGCTCGCTGGGCGGGGAGGGAAACTTCAACTGGCGCTTCACTTTCCCCTTCAGCTACCTGCCGGCCGAGCAGCTCTGTCTGCTCACCTCAAGGGTGCGCCAACCCCCCCCCTGGCCATTAATCAGCCTTGGCCAATCCACTGCTGGATGAGGGCCTGCCCAATTGCTCTTTTTTTAAGAACTTCATTGAAATGATTGCCTCGTGTGCTTCGTGACATTGCTCTGTGTGATCGTACAATCAATATGAGTCATGTTCGCGTTTTTACAGTTCGCTTGCCAAGTTACATGTGCAACGATCGTGTTGGATATGTTTGATTTGTAATTGGGAGTAGTTTGTAGTAAGGTTAAGATATGTACTTATTGTTGATAATATGGTACCAAGTAGCAATTGATCTACATCTGCTCTATTGAAGTTGTTTGAAATGATAAACATATTTAAAGCTTGTAATTGAAACAGACGTCTATCGAAAGGCCATTTAAATTGTTTTTTTAAGTTAAACTATTTCCAAGCAGCCAGGACGAAATGACAACGAACTGCTAATGCCCCGGACTGTGGCAAGTGTTGTTGACATCAAATGATGCAGCCTCATCCCAGTTCCGAGTTCGCTACCAGCAGTTTGATCGGAAGCGTCGTGCGTTGGTGTTCATTCAGTCAGGAAAAGTCTTGAGACCCTGGGGAGGAGCTCGATTGGCCAGACTTTGATCAACACGTCGGCACGTATAAATACATGTGGCAAGAATGTTGGCATAAATACGACGACGTTGACGAACCCCAAGTAGAGAAATGGATCAAGTAAATGTTGGTACCCAATTCACAAGTTGCTTCACTGCCAAGGCTGCACGTTTACGTTTTTTAAGTGTCGAACTGTGCATGTGTGAAAACTGATGTCAGGTTCATTGTGATGAAATAAATACAGGACTGCAGAGCTTGGGAAATTGTTGGCACTGGCTGACAAGCTGTCTCTGTGGCTCCTCAGCGTTGTGAGATGCAATTTGCATGGCCACCGCTGTATAAAAACTAGAAACTCACAAACATGCAACGTATATGCAATTGTCACTTTGGAGTAGGCACCAGAACTTGGTGGTGAACAGAAATCCCTAAAGTGAGGGGGTGAGGATAACTCTAAATAACAATGAGTGCTGAATTTTCAAATGCTGCAGGACCCAGCAGAAGGAAGGAAGCAACGGCAGGATGGGTTTAAATGATTATCATTGGCCATTAAGACATTTGAATGTTAACCTTGGACTTGTGGGATTTTGATTACCACCGATAAAGCCGTTCTTTATAGACACGAACTGCAAGGCACGTGGTATCGGGGCAGGCACGGTGGCGAGATGTTAACTACCTCGCCTGGCATACAGGAGCTCGTGTGTTCGATCCAGACCCTGACGACGCCTGTAGATTTGTAGTTTGCGTGTGTCTCTCTCACCCCATGGTCATGTGGATTTTTGTCAGGTTCCTTAAATTTCTTTCGTCTACATTTAGACTCAACGCGCATTTAGAGTATTTGGCTGCTATAAATGTCCAGGTGATAAGCCACTTCGTTGAGCTATCATTTGTGGCCAGGTCGCTTCTGAAAAAGAGCAGTTATAGCTCAATGGGCCTGACCTGGTAGAATAGAGATCGTTTATATCGAATAAGTTTCACTGGTATTCTTAGAAGCCTAGTATCCCAGTGAATTTATATAAGCAAACAAGCCTCTGTGAAGTGAGCATTGACTTGTGTGTGTGTGTATGGGCTTACCCCGTGCCAACAGGAACACTTCTGGAGTCTGGACAAGACGGAGAGAAAGGTTCCTCCACGGCTCATCATCCAGATCTGGGACAACGACAGGTTCTCCTACGACGACTACTTGGGTACTACGCACACACGGGGACAGAGCAGTCCAGTGCGCATGCGCGTCTGTGAGATGCGGTGCAGTGGGCAGCGGTAGTGTAGTGGTCAGCTCGCTTCGAAAAGAACGCGGCGAGTGCGATTCCCACTGACGGCTAAAATCTGTGATGAATGTCTCACCTGGTCCTGAGCCTTCCCTAAGTTGTCGCAGCCTTGAATGAGCACGTGGTGTGGTGTGCGGATGTAAACACTGGAGAGACAAAGGTAATTGTTTGCACAGTACAAACATATGGTGAGGTGTCATCTTCTTTGCCTGATATGCAGGAGGTCTCGTGGGTTAGATCCAACACCCTGGGATGCCTTTTGTCTATTTGGAATTCCCAAAGTTTTTTTTCTGTGGTGGTCACGTGGATTTTTCTCCCGCTTCTTCCGGTTTTCCCTCCACATTTAGCAACATGCATTTAGATTATTTGGCCGCGACTATGAATTCGCACGTGTGGTGGTAATATAAGCCACTTGAATGACCTATCATGTGTGGCCAGGTGGGTGTCATCTGGTAAAATAAAATTGTTAATTTAAATAACTTAAAATGGAACAAAACTGAAAGGTGTACAAAGAAGCTCTCGCTATCTCTGTGGCCTTTTTGCCAGTATCAATACGATGAAAAAATAATAATAGGCTTTAGCCCTTCTCGCAATAAAACAGGAGGTGTTAAGATGCTCAAACACCAAATAGATACACCTACTGCAAGCCATGAAGTCTGCATGAACCGCACACACTTGTGGCAAAACATGGAAACGTACATGGCCTGGTAATATGAACCTCATGGTGGGACCCCGAGGTCCCGAATAAACGGAAGTCAAAATCGTAGTGAATCAATGTATTTATGGCGACTCCGTCCCACCGCGCACATAAACGCCACGACCCGCCTGGCGCGGATCGTTCTGTTGTCGTGTCCAAGCGCAGCAGCGGCGGCGGACGAATGCGCACAAGAGCTGAACAAGCGAGTGCGCTCCGTGCTCGGGTACGAGCAGGATCATAAGTCTCATCCAAAGCTGCTCAAACTGCCTACACCACTTAAGTCCTTTAGTTTGTCATAACAGGATGTATAATACAGTGAAACTGCTCTCTTATCTTAATTATTAGTTGTGACCTACCAATGTCTGCAGCCAGGATAAATCGATGACAGTCCTATTACCTGCAGATATTTAACAGATGAGATGCGTTGCACCGTTAATTCCTCCTGTTTGATAATACTTCTCTTGTCCGTATGCATCTGTGCAGATTGGTGTTTTTACGGTTAAGCCATAGTCCCCACGTACCGCTCGTATCAATGCGGATAAGAGGAGCGGCGACCCACTACTCTGTAGAGTAACATTGGTATTAACGCTTGTTACACTATGAACAGCGCATTGAAAACGCGTACTATTCATGTACTGTTTACAAAATGTGTTCACAAATCCACACTGAGAAACACGATAATTGACAGAGGGGTGTAAATTATTTTTTCGATAGTGTATTTAAATAGAGGTACAGCAGGTTAGTAGTTTTCAGTTTTAAAGGCATAGTTTAACAAGACAACACTTGCCACCATCCTTCAACCCCATTGGTGAAAGAGAGCAACGTTTTTGTTGCCGTAATATAATGTTTATGCGAGAGCCGGGGGCTTATGGGACTTCGGGATGCCGCCATCAGGTTCATGTATGCACCAGCGTTAGACCAGAGAACGTCAAGAGGCGAGCAGATTCTTGGCACCGAATGCTGCCTTTGCCTTGTACCAAATGGCAGCTCCCTCTAGTGGAGAACATTCTCCCAGCGTTGACTCGAGCAAGGTATTGCAGGGCTTGCACCTTTACCACCGTTACCGACATAGAATGTGCAGACGTTAAGCGACCCGTGCGCGCGCTGTGAAGGTGCGCACGGGGTATTGGCGATTGTGCTGGAGCCATGATTCCCCACAACTCCAACAGCACTGTTGGGATATGATTTCTGATGAAACTCAAATAAAATTAAAAAGAAAAAAACGTTCAGCTTGAACCCGCTCGAAGTTGCACGCGTCCCTACGCGAGAGAGATTCTGCAGACACGGGTGGGATTTCCCCCCACCCGTTTATTGTCTGTCAGAAACAACTTTCAGCTCGAAAACGTAATGATGCGCAGGGCCAGCGGATGGGCGGCCTCCTCTTTCTGGCACCGACGCTTTGGCGTCTCCGCCGCCAAGACGTCTTGCCGAGTGAGGGATCGTGAAGTGCCGTACGCTGTGTACGGCACAGGGAATCTCACAGGCGTGCAGTGAGTGCCCAAGCGTGGCAGCCGACGTGCACGTGCAAGCTGGAGATGGAGAGATTAAGTGAGCTCGTGTGGAGGAGCCAGAATAAATGATCACGTTGCGTGAGATATGGCGATGGCTTGTGGAGGCCTTCATCCAGCAGTGGATAGATTGTGGCTGATGATGGTGGCACGGCAAGGAATGATGGTGATGAAACGCTTCTTGTTACGGAGCCGGTAGAGTTTTGCACGAAACATCTGATTGTGCGGCAACGTGGTTCCTGTGGAAGTCGGAACAAAACTCGTTATAACTGGTCCCTGGGGTTTGTTCTTTCAGTTCGGTTTTCTTGATGAAACACTGACTCATGTATTGTAATTATTTATCATGTACAAATATATTAAAACAAAGGACAACAGTGCATTTAGAGAACGTCATGTTTACGAGGACAAATTAATTTTGATATAAAACCATCCCGAGGCCATACTCCCCTCGACTCTTTACTGTCCCTCCTCGCCTCCACCTCGCCGCTGAATCTTCCATTCTCACAAGCACGAGGATGTCCACATTGATAAGTTGTCAGACGCGCTGACACCACGTCCCCAAGAACGGAGAGTGCACTTTAATATAACTTGCCAATCACGGCGGTTTGCACACGCTGTAAAGCCCACGAACTTCACATCCAATGAACATCCTTGCTGCCCTTCACAGAGACGCCTTCGCCTTGAACTGCTCTTTAAAGAGCGTGAATCGCCCTGATGCTCTTTAATAACGGCGCGACTTCTTCAAGTCCGGCTGCCGCTTTCTTGAAGAAGTGCTTACCCACCTTGCCCGCGTGCGAGCCCTCAACACATCCGGAATGTCCAAGGAGAGCCATCTATTTAGTTTGAATTCACCGCAGCCGGGAGATGTGGTTCCGTGGTGCCGTGGTCATCGTGAGTGTGAATCGTCTCATTCGTCGTTTGGAATGAGATCACACTGACGAACCTTTGCTTTAATGGAGAAACACGCTTCCTTACCTGATGCTGCAGACCGTCTTATGCACTTTACAAAAGGTATCTTAGCTGATACATTAAAATATATATTTGAAGTTAAGTACAATGTCCTCAGACAATGTTTTGTTCCAAGTATTTTGGCCTTAGCTATTCGGCCTACTGCTGTTAAATCACCGCTTGTAATATCGTTTACTTTTGGTCAGCAATGCTGCCTTTGTCATCGATCAAATGGCAGCTCGTAACTTATCGTTGCAACTGATGAAAAATGCAAAGTACCATCACTCAAAAAGAACACTGCTACGACTGAAAAATATCTACAAAGCAATTCGGAGGGAACGACGTGACGTGAAGCAACACATGATCCTGGCCATCAGTCCCGAGCACACAGCACATGTGATGTGTGCTCGTGAAAAACAGATGATATTGAGCAAAATGTATTGCGCATATTAAGAGAAACCCGCCCTGATGCACATGCGCCTACATCTGCGGGGCTCTAAAGTGTTTTATTTTCCAAGATGTCAATTTTGGAATGCCGTTGATTCTGGTGTTTCAAAAGGTTCACTTGATATTGATAACATAAATACTCTGTGACAATTTGGTTTGAATCACGAGCCACCAAACTCCACGTAATTCAAACTAAATTTGGTTTTTATGATTCTCCAGATTCGATGGAAAAATGAAAGACTCGGGAGAGCCAAATTCACGCAACTTCTCTCAAGAAATCCGCGGGTAGCTAAATAAACATCCCAAACTGGGCAGCACGCGTGTTTTTCTTTTTTTTTACTACCACACCAGACCGTTCCGGCTGCCCCAAAGGTGCCACAACTTTTGAACCAAAGTTGCCCTCCGTAGCCCCACGGGGTGACGGCACAGCGCGATGGAAGCGTGCGCCAGGTTGGAGGCGAGCGTGCGCGGGTCACGGAAGAATGCGCGCTAACGCGATGTGCTCGCGCGGCTCCCCCGCCAAAGCGCACCTCTCCCAGATTTTTTTTTTCCGTTTTGTGACGGCTCCTGCAGGGTGACCCCGCGCTGACACCGAGAAGGCGTTGCGAGCTCAACGCCTGGGCAAGCGCGTGTGCGCGTGTGTGCGTGTGTGCGTGTGCGCGTGTGCGCGCGTGTGCGCGTGCGTGCGTGCGTGCGAGAGACCAGATTTTATAGTTTTGGGCAGTAATTCCTTCCATGTGGTGCAGCGGGTTCGTGTGTGTGTGCGTACGGCTGCGTAATTCTGTGTGTGTGTATGCCTGTGTGTCTGCATGCCCTGTGCACAACCTCGAAATTTCACATGTTTAGCAATAACCTCTGTAACACGAGATCTTCTCTGGGAAAATCCAAAAGACATGCAGTGTTTCTTCACAGTCTTTTCCCAGGGCGATGTTTCTGTTTAATACATCATTTTACCAGACCTAGGGGTATTATTGTCCCAAACAGGTATCACGTTTTTTTGCGTGCCAGTGTGGATGAAAATAATCTCCTCTTTTCCCACTCTTCATTCAGCCGTTCATTCAAACTTTTATTTGCTGAGCACCTTTCAAAAATAACTTTGCCAAGTACACCGTGTACGAATCAGAATGCAGAGTTAATATCCTGTGCATCCAAATTGCTTGATGTTCTTCTCATGTAGTGAACTTCCCCCGTTACCAAACCCATGCAGCTCAGTCTTCCAAAACGCTGCCCTTTCCATCTCAATACCCCCCTAGCCCCCACCCCCAACCCATCAGCACCCACAATGCCTCACTCCTCCCACCTGCCCCATCTCCACTCTC